CTTCACTGAGTTACGCAAGCCCCTTCGCCACGACAAGGCAGTGATCCATGAAGGGGATCTTTATGTCTCTTTATGGTTACTGAAATCTGAACATCAGCAGCAGTATTTCTGAATCTGGAATAAGCACAACAGTGCAACGGAATTATGAAAAGTATGTTTATTCTTCAGCACAGAAAAACTTAAACGTAATTGCAGAAACATCTCTTCTTTCTATTCTTCTTTCATTTCTGATCATTCAGATTTAATTGCGGTTACCACTGTGCTAAAATGAAGGTTTATTTGGACAGAACTAATAATGCATTCCAATTCATATTCAGGGGGAAAAACAAATAAAATTATTCTTTATAAAGTTGTTGCTACCACCCCAAAAGGATTAAATTGGAATCCATATATTAAACTTTGATCTTATCCTGTTGCTGTCGGGCATCTTGTTTGTTCTTTTCCTGGAAGTCTAATATTTTAGATATGCATGTGTATATGGGTGAGTGGGGTGTGTATGGAAATTATATACTGCCTCCTTTTTATTCAGAAGTCAAGTTGATCATGAACAAATGGAATTTTACTTAACAATAATATTGTATGAGAAGTTAATATAGGATATAATAAATTGTTTCTTTTTCAAGTAGTGCACCGATAAATTGGTGTTTTTGTCTTTTTTCTATTTCTTTATGATATACCAGCTATCATCTTCTCCCCCTCACCGTTTTTCTCCCTCTGTCCATCTCTCAACTATCCCCTTCTCCGAATGCTCATTCTCTCTCAGCTCCATTCCTTATAAGTGTGTGTGTTCGTGTATGTGTGTGTGTGCACACACGCCTTTGAGTCAGTGTTGACTCCTGGCAACTGCCTGGACAAATCCCTACAGTTTTCTTGGCAAGGTTTTTCAGAAGTGGTTTGCCATTGCCTGCTTCCTAGGGCTCAGAGAGAGTGACTGGCCCAAGGTCACCCAGCTGGCTTTGTGCCTAAGGCAGGACTAGGACTCACCATCTCCTGGTTTCTAGCCTGGTGCCTTAACCACTACACCAAACTGGTATATTATAAGGAAGAGGCCAGTTAAACCTTTTATTCACATTCAAATAGAATAATAGCATAATTTTTCATCACAAACACAATACAAAAACAGCTTTCATAATAAGCAGGAACAGGATATTTATCAACCTCATACATGACAGCCATGACAGATAAGAGAAGGGCACCTCCTGTTTTTTGGAGAAGGAGGAGATGAAACTGCAGAAGACAGCAATAAATCTCAAAAGCATTTTGCATCCCTCCTGAGTATCATCCTATAAGGAATAAATTCATTAAAAAAATAGCAACACATTCAAATAATTTGTTTAGAAAGGCTCCACATTCTAAATCTGGCATAACTGAAACAATATGGCATAACAGAAATAAGTCTGTTGAACAGAAAGAATGAAACATCGTATCTGGAATATAAATTACATCTTCTTGCACATATCCTTTGAGAATCTTACTAATGCCCTGAAAGACATGAGTTTGTGAAAGCAGTGACACAATAGCAGAAGGGAATAATGCCTTCATAATTGAACAGAGTTGCTTCTTCTGTAAGAATAAGACTAATTAGAATAAGTTCATCCTTCCCTTGCTGCACCTTTTGACAACTATTTGTTTGCATCTGTATTAGGAACTTGTCTCTTTTAAATATTTTTTAAAATTTAAGCATATAAGATTAATTTTCTTTTTGTTGTATATACCGCAACCCCAATGATGATTTGGGTCAAGGCATGTTCTTCTGAGTCTGATCATTCTTGAATCAGAATTCTTACACAACAGTTAGAGAAACCAGCTACTCAGCAGTTACCAAGAACTATGTTAGGTGCCACTTTAGTCTAGAGAGGTTTCATCTGGATTACAAATAAATGAATGTAACTTAATTTTCTTCAGAGCCTCTGGATCTCAATTGTACAGATTAATTGTAAGCTTGCAATTCCGTTTCAGCTGCTTTACAGTTTACCTTTTCTGAATTTCAGAGCTGGGAATATTAATAGCTGGTAAGAAGAGACAACAGTTAGAAAAGGTCCTTGCCACTTCACAGTGACTGAGGGTGGAGGTTCCACGCAGTATCTGACATAGCACACAGACTCAGGGCTTTGGAAATGCAAAGCTGTTCATTCACAAGCAGCTATGTGACCAGGCAGAAGCCACTGAAACCAACAGGCTACAGGGGCCCACCCTGTCTGGTCAGCATTCAAGTCCATGAATTGACCTTGCTTTCCGTGAATCCCAGCTCTATCATGAAATATCTGGATGGAGACCATGGGGCCTTCTTTTTGGGTATGGCTTAGCAGTTGCAGCAACCACGTGCTCTCAGCTATGGCTACTCCAGCGTTCCACATTTCTCAGACCAATAGCGGTACCCATCCATCTTACCAGGACTACAGATGCTGGATTTCTTTTCAGGGCTTCTTGATGCAGGGCAGTCTATCACTGCCCTCAGTGCCTCCTTCGTTAGACTGGTTCCTCTATGATGCAACAGCAGTTTCTGAGCTGTGGCACATATCCATGCAGCACGGGCTGCTGGAGAAATGGTTCACTGCCATTCTCCGTATGAAGCAACTGATGGCAGATTGCCTTTGTCATAATGCAAGAGTAAATTGTATTTCACACCTGGAAGTTCTAGAGCTTGCTCGTGACTTATTTTTCTCACCAAGAGTTGGCCCATGTGGCCGCTGTAAGGATACGTCAAGGCCAAGCACTGTTTATAAGGGGCCTCACTGTAAACAGCATTTCTTTCCCATCAGCTTTTCCAAGGCTCCCTTCACTTCTTTGTTTCTCAAGCTATAGATAAGAGGGTTCAGCATGGGGATCACAACAGCATAAAAAACTGACACCACCTTGTCGTAACTGAGGGAGTGAGTAGAGCTTGGTTGCAGGTACATGAAGAAAAGGGTGCCATAGAATATGATGACAGCAGTCAGATGGGAGGCACAGGTGGAGAAAGCTCTGTGTCTTCTCCCAGTAGAGTGTTTTCCAAAGATGGTGCATAGAATGTAGACATAAGAGACAATGATGGTCAAGAGAGAACTACTTAAATTGATACCAGATAAAGCTAAAAGCTGGATTTCTTTAGGTCGAGTATCAGAGCAGGACAAAGCTAACAGTGGGGGGTCATTGCAATAGAAATGATTGATCACATTTGATCGACAGAAAGATAGCGTAAAAGTTAATGCTGTTTGAACCACTGAGCTCACAAAGCCATAAACATACACACTAGACACTAATACAGTGCACAACCTCTTCGACATAACCACAGAATAGAGCAGTGGGTTGCAGATGGCTACATACCGGTCGTATGCCATGACAGACAGTAAGAATAATTCAGTCATCACCAAACCATCAAAGATGTAAAACTGAATTGCACAGCCAATCAAGGAAATGGTTTTCTTTTTGGCAAAAAAGCTTCCAATTGCTTTAGGGGTAACAGTGGAAGAATAGCTGGCGTCCAGGAAGGCCAAATGGCTGAGGAAGAAGTACATTGGTGTATGTAGCTGGGGATCCATCTTGATCAACAGGATAATCCCTAGATTTGCACTCAGTGTGATGATATAAATAATCAAGAACATGGCAAACAGAACTACTTGCAATTCTGGATGATCTGTGAATCCGGAGAAGATGAACTGTGTTACTTGGGTTTCATTTTTCTCATTCATTTATTGTGCTTTTTTAATTAAAGAAAACCTGCCAGAAAAGTGGAAAAACAACAACACCAAGAACAAACTGGAAAAAAGAAGATAAAATTATGATTATTTTTTTAATTAAATTATGTCACTCACAGACCAATCACAAATTCAATAAACTGAAACTGAACAAGTTCCAAATTCTATATGTTCAAACATTCTAGTTTACACTCAGGATTGTGCATCCTCTGTAACTCTGAAATGACCACAGTACTCCAGTATTTCTGTTGTCCATGGTGCATCCTAGAATTACTGGAATTGTACAGCTAGAATGGTGTGTATGTGGAAGAAATGTACTACTGATTTCTTTGAGACTGAAACGTTGTGATTCACCAACACTGCATGCCATCTATTAATGTTTATCATTGTCCAGTCAAAAATGTATACAAAACTGCATATAGTATCCTTGAGCAAAGTTCATTGAAAAAAGAACATGTATTTTAGAAAGTTATGTAGTCTCACAATTAGAAAGAAAAGGAATCAGGAACGATGCTGATGTGGTAAACATATCTTCTGGATCCCCCCCTTGCTCCAGAGTTTGTAAATGTAAAATTACATAAGGTACTATCAGTTTTATGGATATTATGGCTGCTGTTAGATTACCCAGGCTCTACCCTTTTCCATTACAAAAGTTCCCTGTATACTAAGATCATCTTCAGCTACTATAATTCTGTTAAACAAAATTCATAATTTGAGAACAGGATGAAAATAAACAGAGTACAAATGTACTGCTTCTTATGAGATAGTATTTTCATTTTCCACCAGTCACTGGCTGACACAAATATCTTAGTAAGACTTACCCATTTCAAGCAGTGCAAGCTCCAGATGACATGATACAGTCGAATAAACACACAGGGCCATTATATACTGCAGTTATATCTCAAGGGTGTGATCTGTTGAATCCTCAGGACTGATGAAACTCAGCACTTAAACGACACTGGGCATCAGATTATTTTTCTCTACTCTCTTGGACCTTCCTATTTGTCCTTGTTGCCTGACAAATGTGCCTCAGAACTTTGGATGATGCTTGCTCGGTGGAAAAATAACTATTGGAGGTAAAAGTTTAAGAAACTGGTACTACGTGCACCGAATCTTTTTCACAATTACTGCTGTTCCATTGGGATTCCCTCACCAAACCCTGTACTCAACCTTAAGGATGCCAAAAGTATTAAGCATCCTTTTGTATGGAAATTAAATAGTTACCACTTACCCATGTGAGACTTCAAATACAGTCATTAGGGTCTATCTTTTCAGTAAAACCAAGGGGCATTTCCATATGGTACTATTGTCAGCCCCTCTAAAACTGTTCCAAGTATTTTTTCTACCTGTCTTACTAGGTTCAAGAGGAGGAGCATCCTCTGGGTCCCTTCATTTAAATAATGTCTTACGGGAGCTCAGAAGTGTGCCTTTCCTGTTGCAGTGCCTGCCCTTCAGAACTCCATACCTCCCAAGATCAAACTGGCCCTGATCCTCCTGGTGTTTCATAAAGTGTGGAAGATCTGGACGCGCTCCAGAGCCTAGGAGTCACAGTTCTGCAGACTTTCACAATTGCAAATGAATGAATCAGTGAAGCAATGTACCTTAAAGAACAATCAAGAGACCCAGTTTGGCATAGAGGTTAAGGCACCATGCTAGAAACCAGGAGTTCATGACTTCTAGTCCTGTGTTAGACACAAAGCCAGCCTTGGGCCACTCCCTCCTAGGAAGACAGTAGGGCAAATTACTTCTGAAAAACCTTTCCAAGAAAACTGCAGGGACTAGTCCAGGGAGTTGCCAGGAGTCAAAACTGACTCAAAGGCACACACACACACACCCGCCTGCAAAAAACCCCAAAATTTTTCTGATTTTCTGAAATCAAAGTACTGAGAATGAGTTGCTCAGAGGTTTACTCCAAGGAGGAATAAGCTCTTAACTGAAAAAGGAGAAAGAGTGGATCAGTAAAGCTGATGGCCTGTCAGAAAGAATTGCATCTGATGTACATCTCTCCTATCCCAAAGCGATTTATATGGGTGACTAAGCTATTTGGAGCATGAAGGCTAACCTTCAGGTCATCTATAGGAGTCCTTAATTTATTATGCACTACCTTTGCACAGATCCATGAAATACCTTGCTGTACCATGTCCTATTCCTGCAGAGTGTTAAGTGGCTGGAGATAACAGGTATGGCAGTCAGCATATCTCAAGGGCACAAACTGGGGAAGGCTGATCTATTGTGTTAAAATGGGGAGAGGAAGGGATCTTTTTTTTTTCTCAGTACACATTTCACCTAATTTTTAAATATGTAATATAAGTTCTCTACAGTTATCTCCTTCTTTTAAAAGCTGCCATAATATATTACTGTTTTGTAACTACTGTTTAAAAAAGTCAGAGAAAGATTCCAGACAGGATCTAGAATGAGCAGCAGTATATAGCTGGAAAAGAAACCCAGTAAAGACATGCCTTAGAAAACCCTGAGGTCATCATCCCATTGCAGAAACTGGTTACAACTGATTCAGTTCATGTCAAGATAACATGATTCATTTGTGGGAAGAGAAATATAAACAGTTAGCCGGTTGTAACTCTTCTAATGGCCTCTTTCATCTCCTTATTTCTCAAGCTATAGATTAGGGGATTCAGCATGGGTATGATTAATGTATAAATTACAGAAATCACCATGTCAGTATCTAGTCCCGATTTCAGGTTGGGATGGATATATGTAAAGGTCCCCGTTCCGTAAAGTAAAGCCACTGATGTTAGGTGAGAAGCACAGGTGGAGAAAGCTTTGCGTTTGCCCTTCACTGAGTTGATTCTCAGGATGGCAGACAAAATGCAGAGATATGAAAAAATAATGGCTGAAACAGAGGTCATTGCCACTATTCCTGATGCAAAGATGGATAGAGATTCTGAAAGGAAGGTGTCAGAGCATGAAAGTTGAAAAAGTTTAGGGATATCACAGAAGAAATGTTTGAGGATGTTACACCTACAGTAGGATAATCTGAATATACAGACTGTCTGCAGCACTGAGTTTGCAAAGCCAGCTGCGTACGATCCTGCAACCAGGCAATTGCACAGCTGTTGGGACATGAAAGCAGAATACAAGAGGGGGTTGCAAATAGCCATATATCGGTCAATTGCCATTACAGCCAAAAGAAAGCACTCGGTAGTCACAAAGGCAGTGAACAAGCACAGCTGAACAACACAACCTGCATAAGAGATGCTTTTGTGATCTACCAGGAAGTCCACCAGCATCTTGGGGGCAATCACCGAGATGTAGCAGAGGTCTGTGAATGATAAATGGAGGAGGAAAAAGTACATGGGAGTGTGAAAGTGGGAGTCAATTCTGATCAGCACAATTAGGCCAAGGCTTCCGACCACGGTGAAAAGGTAGATGGCAAGAAACAAAAGAAAGAGAACAATCTGCACATTGGGTTGATCAGTGAATCCTAGTAGGATGAATTCTGTGACCCTTGTGTGGTTCTTCTGCTGGTCCATCTTTACTGCAGCGCGTCTCTGGAGAGGAAAATTAATCATCAAATCAAACAAACAAAATTAAATGTTTGTTGTGCGGGGGTGGTATTTTGGTATTCAGAGGTTTATTTGGTTGTACTCTAGTAAAATATATAGACCAAGAAAGATTTGGCCTGTTCCTGCTCATAAAGGCTCCTTTGCTTTCCTTTATCTGTTTAATTTTGTACAGGAGTTGTATTTCATCCCGCAGCATTAAACGCAGCCCGTGGGGAAGAGGGCAAAGAAATTAAGACTGATAGCTTATTTTCAGAAAGTGGAAAAATACTAGAGAAACCTTCTATGGGCAATGTGATCTTTTTGGTTTGTCATGGCATCCAGATCCAAACCCTGTGCTTTTCTAGGTTCCCTGCTGGCTACATCTCACATAACCTTTCTGCAGTGAGCTGTTCTGAGAACCTCCAGGGAATGCCAGTGGCACTTGGACTCCAGTGTTTACCCACCATTGAGAGAGGGGAAAGACCTCTCCTGCCTTGATGCCTTGAAAGGGACCCCAGTTCCAGAGATGCAGCTGTACATCATTTGCCCACTACTATCATTGATTAGGCCAAAACCAACCCTTGTCCCTACCAAAAGACCATTGTCAAAATTTGCAAGCGGTAGCACAATCCTATGGGACCGGGGAGAGGAGGTAGGAAGCCCAGGTGCCCGAAAGAAAAGAGGACTCATGTAGATACTTCCTTCAAATGGAAGGGGGGAAGGTTACCTGGGAAATCTGTCAGTTCTAGGATCACCTCTTCCTCTTCATACTTTCCAGCAGTCACTGGGTTTTACTTCTGGCACACTGGAGGTGTTACAGGAAATAAAATATTATAAGAAATAGATGAACAGAATTTGAACCTGAAAAAAAATGCAGATCTGCAGAGGAGGGTGGAAAGCAAACAAGGAAGCAGACCAGGTCTGGATACCAGCTACCAGAGATACCTTCTACCATGAAGCACATGGTACATGAAGAAGAGATACCAGGTAGCATGAAGCAGGTCACATAATGGTCAACAAAAGGCTGAGGTGAGGCAGAAAGGAATGTGTGACAGATGCTGCTGGTAAAAGGATAAAAGACGCCCAATCATGTACACAACTATCATCAATGGGGGTGGGGGTGGGGGGTTCCTGTCTTCTCTACTCCCTGTGCATTCCTTGGCCAGGATGTAACAAGGAAAGTGAGTATCAGTAAGCGTGTATGTGTGCATGCATGATGCTTAACCAGTTGTAAATCATAAAACATTTGTAGCTTAACAGAGTTTCTCTGTGTGCTGTGTGTTCTCTTGAGCATTTCTTTACTGCATATGATCCTGAACTCTTCTATCGCCATTGAAAGTGTGTGAATGTATCCACTAAGAAATCCCTCCCTACACCGGTACTCCATTGACCAAGACTCTTAGGGAGGTCTTTGAAAGAGGAAAGGACGAATGATCTATAAATGGCAGAACTGGTAACAGAGGAGATTCCTTTCTTCACTGTCTCTCTTGGCAAGGCCCCAGTCATCAGTTGCGTCCATCGCCAGGGCACTGAGCAAAATAAGCCCCCACAGGTAAATCAGAGTCCATGTTCATCACATTCATGAAACTGTCCCCTTTTATTCTGTAGAGTGCAATGTTATTGATTAGGATCAGACACTGAGCTTCATTTTAACCATGGCTTAAACCTGATTGGGTTTATACCTAAAGCTAAGCCCAAAGCAAAGAAACTACCTTATGGCTTAATGTGATATGAGGTCCAATCACTATCTTTTTTAGAATAACCATGCAGGATCAGAAGGGGAAATGCATTCTTAGTCATATTAAATAAGGGAATGCTTTGCTGGAAGAAGGTAGGATGAACTATTGTTTCTGGAAGCTCAAAAAAAGTATGAAGATATTTGGACTTGTTCTGTGTCCTAACATAGAGGAAAAAAGGTTTTCTTTAACTACCATCATTTTTAGCTACTGATGGTTACCTTCTCATCAATATGGCGAATCCTACATCAAATAAAGTTTAGCCAACACTGCTTGATTTGTTTTTAAGCCTCTATGCTGGTTAAAAGTTGTTTTGCAATTCCATTAGGCACCAATAAACGAATTTATCCACTTTTTGGCAGTGGTTGTTTTGCAATGTCATATTAGTCTTTTCCACTTTCAGTCCAGTTACAGTTTTTATATAGTTTAAAAAGTTGTACCTTGGAAGATGACGACTTACTGCATTACTGCTGCCATGAAGGTCACACATGGTAGAGAATAGCGGGTTCAAGACATCTCTAAATTGTCATCACGGACAAATTGAGTATTAACACCTTTCATTGAAGAGAAGATGGTTGCATTTGGGAGGTTACAGCCAACTGATTTTCCATTCAGTTAAAGTTGATAGTCAAATGAGATGCTTCAAGAGAAATATATTGTGGCAAGTGGCCATCCATCTGTTTACCTATTAATATCCAAAGTGACTTTGCAAGTAAAATTATAAATTAGTCTTGCTGTCAGAGTTTAACTACAGTTGATAGACTTAGATACATTTTTAGATCAGCAGTCTAAGTGAAGCTTGTAGCCTTATTAGTAGATACGAACATGCTGTACTAGAGAAAGATGACCATGGTACAACCTCATGCACATATACATAGATGTAAAGCTTACTGCATTCAGCAGGATGGACATTTAGATGGGTGGATGTGGAATTGTAGTCTTTATCTAAGGAAAATACCACTTCTATCGACATGAATTGCTTAACAGATATAATTGCAAACATTTCTATGTATTTTTTGCTTGTACACCTCCTATGTTAATCTCTAAATCTTTACCTCTCCCCACTTTCTGTTTATAATGAAACACTTATTTCTTAGAAATATTGTTAAACTTACCTAAGAATCGCACAAAAATGGCAGGCACAGGAAATAGCAGACACACGAGGGGCTTCTCTACAGTTTTCCATGTCCAACAAATAGATTGATACAGCCTCATTGTATGCAACGTTTCAAAAGGGCAGGATCCACGTATTTTATTCTCAGAAAATTGGCATATTTTGCCTCTAGGATATCTAAGATACACTAAGGGCACAGACAGACTCTTTCATGGATTATAATCAGTCCCAGTGGCATTGCACACACTAGACAATAAAATTATATATCACTCCAAAACTTACTGTCTAGAGATAGTTTGCATACAAACTCCAGATGGACAACAACTTTACAAGATATTATCTTTTGACTCAGCACATGGGAGGTGGGTTCATACATCCCATTTAAAACATGGTTTGTTTTACCCATAGGTTCTTGATCAAGCATTGTGGGTTGTACACATGTAATGCCATGACACAAGCCATGATTTCCAAGCCACTTTGTCTGGGTTATTTGCAGGGCCACCTATCTCTGATTATTTTTGCCCATCCCACAAAATCTGGCAGGGTAGGAATACTTTGGGTGCCCTCTGTAAAACGGTCATCTGGTGGGACCGCAGAATTGTGTCTTTTCTTTCACAGCACCTGCCCTATGAAACAGCCCCCTTCCCCCTTCCCCCAAGATCTGGATCGCCATGACTCTGTTAGCCTTTTGCAAAGCCTTGAAAACTTGGCTCTTCCCCTGGGATTGAGCCAGGGTGTTGGATGAACCCATCTGTAATGCAGTGGTTGAGATTATGACTGTGGTTTGGCCTCGGTTTCATTCCATTTTTTGTTGTTTTATTTGGTTGGTTATTTTCTGCTTTCCATTGTTAATTCTATGTCAGTCTCCCAGGGTCAGAACTGTGAATTCAGCAGCTATTTAAATTGATGAAATAACTAATCCCTAAACAAACAAACAAACAAACAAAAATACATATTATATGTATAATGTACATATTACAGTGCATGGCATCAGTGTCACAAAATGTCTAGCCTACAGAGAATGATCAGTAAATCTTCACTCCAGTTTTACTATGAGTAACCTCTGTTGGAGTCAGTGGGATTTATTTCTGGGTAGACATGTACACAAAGTAAAGGTCTTACTTGCACAGTAGACCTGCCCTACCCAACAAGGTTAGCCTGAGCGGATGTAACAAGTATTGTTCTCCTGGTATTCCACCAGGTCCTTTTCCTTTCTTCAACTAGGATTGAGGAGCAAAGAGAAAAGGAGAAAAATGGCATTGTATTTTTCTTGTGGAAAAACACAAGGGCATAAACCCAGTAAATGGTGGCCAGTCTACAGTAGCCTAAGCCTCTGGAAATATGTCAACAGATTACAACCTTCAAGATATAAACTGGGACCAAAAAGGGCTAATTAAAATAGGACATACTGTATATTGTTAGAAACAGCAGAAAGTAACATGAATTGAATGTTGTATTGACTTTTGGGGCTAAAGAATAAGTGTAAAGAGAGGGACGGGGGAGGCTCATCCAAAATGGAGATTGAGCCTCATGGTACATAGCTGTGAAAGACGTTGGGCAAGACCTTGAGTATATCCAAAATAAAAGAACACCCACTCTATCTCCTGATTTAACTGCACACAGAAGCCTGGTGCGCTGGATTTTCCTTTCTCACATCTTGGATGATTTTCTCTATCTTGGAGGGGTTAAATCAGGGATATATCAGAGTTATGTCAGGTTTATATCAGTTTATATCAGGTGAAATCAGAGATATAGCCATTCTTTGTGGTTTGAGAAAAGGGAATGGAACATGTCAGTTGTTTCGGTGTTCCAGAACGTTAGGTATTCAGAATCCTCTAATAGTAGTCATTAATGCATTCTGTCTGCAATCTTCACATTGCAACTGATTTAAGCTGCAGCCCTCATCACCATAACCCTGGCCTAGTTTTTGAACTTCTGGGTTCTGTTTGTTTGTTGTTCTGGTTACGCTAGCATTCATTTTGATCAAGAGTTCTGGAGGTGACAAAAACTTGCATGTTCTATTATGATGCTGGATTGGCTAGTTTAAAGATATTGCTCCATTTAGATGAACATAGCTAACATTGTTCTTTATGAAAGCCCCTGAAAATGTTAACCTGTGACTGTGAAGTTGTGTGTCCAAATCTGAAAGATGGCAGATGTGGTATTGTGACCCGAGCCCTGCCTGGTTTGGAGGTGCTGGGCAGGTCCAAAAGCAGTGGGGCTTGGATTGTGACCTTAAGCCCACCGTCCTGCTGATATCAACCACTCCGTTGATGCTGCTGGTCCAAAGTATCAGGTAAGATAGCAAAGGTATTTATGTAAAAGTCATTGCTGAAGTCACAGAGTAAAGGCCAAAGTATCTTGGGAAAGGGTGTGGTTGTCTTAAGAAGTTGCAGAAAGATGCTACATTTATGCTTTTGCAGGCTCTGGAGCACTTTTTGTCAAGTATATTTGCATACTAGCTGCACTACTGTGTACGTAGGAAGCAAGCACTGAAGGCCACAAGTATGTTCTTGAAATATAGTTCATAATAGAAATCCCACCCAATCACCTTGAATCCAAGTGTAGATATGACAATTGTGAGTTCAAATTTTTAAGTGAAAAAAGAGATGTTCCTGGATTTCTTTTCTCCATGTGTTATGTGAACTCACATGAGTATACAGGCTTCAGCCAGGAGACAGCCTAAAATGCTGCAAGGCAGAATTTTATCCAGGGAATATCTAAAATCTACCACTCTATCCATTGATGTCATTTTACTGACCCACCAACTCATGACTGACAGATGAATTTTTTATTTGGCATTTCAACTCTCCACTCAACTGCAATTCCCAGGATTCCAAACAAAGAAGGAATAACTATGAAACCAATTTAAACAGATTATTACCATCTTTATTATCCTTTCTTGAATCTCACATATCTCCTTCCTGGAGATTAAAAAAAGGAGTTTCAGAAGGATAGTTTTGAGGTGAACAAAATTGGGGGGGGAGGGGAGAGAAAGAGAGAGAAACATTGCCTTTCTGCCTTCCTTCACGTGGTCCTTAGCTTGGAAAGAGCATCCAAATCAAGTTTTTAAAATTGACATGTATTGCTAGTGGCAATGTATCATGCCCTTAACCAGCGACAGGTTTTCCACTGTCTCCACATTTCCACTCCACCAAATTGTTAATTCAAAGAACTTTAAAAAATAGCTTTCTATTTTGTAATTAATGTTACCTTGTGACTATTTCCCATTTTCATTATAAGGCAGTTTGAAGTATGGTTGCTAAAATTGACTGAAGCAATTTAACATACATCTTGCACTTTACCAATGACTGATATAGACATTCTATGCTTCCATCCATTTCAGTGCCAATAAAATAAAAAGGAATTTTAAATCTGAGTTACATGGAAATGCAGATTCCACCTATGTACACTTTGCATTACGATCAAATGGTTGACTTTGACACATCCTTCTGCACTTCAGTGTTAATGTATATACGGTACATACATTTATACAGGAAAAATATTCAGACATCAATTTGTTTTGATTTAATAAAAACATTTATTCTTCTTTTAGATCAATCTTAAAACACATTGTCCTTTTATTTTTACCTTTGGGTAACTTTTATACAGTTATAGCTCTTTTCTCACCTGCTCATAATGTTAACAAGCATTCAGTAGCATTTTTCTGAGAGAAAATGCAACTATGATTTTTTTTTTTTAACATGAAGGAAGTAACATTTATACCATTTTTACTTCAGGGATATCATCTTGTGTAGGATTCTGCTAATTGCATCCTTCACCTCTTTGTTCCTCAGACTGTAGATGAGTGGGTTAAGTGAGGAGATGACAAGAGTGTAAAAGACAGATATGACTTTGTCTTTATCAATTGAGAAATTGGAGCCAGGTCGTATGTACATGAAGATGATGGTCCCAAAGAAAATGGTCACAGTGGTGAGATGGGAGGCACAGGTGGAGAAGGCTTTATATCGTCCCTGAGCAGAGCTGATCTTCAGGATGGCAACAACAATGGCAATGTAGGAAATCAAAACAGTCAGAAAAGTTGTCAGTGCAATTGCAGTGGATAAAATGAAATGCACAAAATGAACGATATGGGTATCTGAACAGGACAACTGAAGCATTGGAGGAACATCACAGAAAAAATGATTAATTGTGTTCTTTGAGGTGCAGAATTTCAAATTAAAAATGAATATGGTCTGGACTGTTGAACTTGCAAAGCCACAGGTATATGCAGCTATGACTAAGAGGATGCAAAACTTCTTTGACATGACCACAAAATAGAGCAATGGGTTGCAGATTGCTGTGAAGCGATCATAAGCCATCACAGCTAGGAGGCAACCTTCAGTGGTCACAAAGATGGCAAAAAAGAAGAACTGCATGGTGCACCCTGTAAAGGAAATGGTTGCATGTTCTGTCAAAAATGTTGTCAACAATTTGGGGGCAATGGTGGTAGAAAAACCAATATCTATAATGGAAAGATTTCTAAGAAAAAAGTACATTGGGGTGTGAAGCCTAGCATCAATTCTGGTTAGAATGATTATCCCAGTGTTTCCCACCAGTGTGATCAGATAGATGACCAGGAAGAAGATGAAGAGGGGGATCTGAAGCTCTGGGTGGTCCATGAATCCAACAAGGATGAACTCAGTCACAGTGGTTTGATTTGTCTGCATTGTTTATTTCCCTCTAACAGAATAAAAGAGAGGGAAAACCTTGTAGCAGAATAAATATTGGATTTTCTTAGGATCCCCAAGGGTGAAGATTAAGAAAACCCCAAACTAAAATGGAACAGTTTGCTTGGGAAACATGCACACTCACTCTTGTGTTATGGGTTCTTGACAAATATGCTCTTTTAAAAATGCTATGCTGTTATGGAGAATGCACACACTATTATGTATGGCTGTAGTGTCAATTAACAAAGAATGGATTCATATCTACCATCATCTCCTTGCATATTCCTGGAAGCTTTTTTGTATGTGAAAGAATGTAGACTTCTTGCTAAAACGTATTTTATATTACATTCTTTTACTCTCCAAAGAAGCTCAGAGTGATCACTCGGTTGGATTGTGTGGGTTTATAATTCTCTCCTACAGTCCGCAGCGATAAGCGTACTGTAATCCACTTAGGCAGGAAGTGGTCTGTGGAGCAATCATTGGCATCTATTGGCTATTATGCATCAATATTTATAGAACTTCCATCTGAAATTTATTCCAGTTTGCGAACCAAACTCTTTCCATTTACAATTACTTTTTAGAACATTTCAAAGTGGCTGATCAGCCTATACTACAGCCATGTCCTGCAGCAGAGTTCCATCTTGTATTTTTTTTCAACTAAGACATACTTTTTAGTGTAATGGCAAACTTACTGTATATCTCAGCCTGCAGTTTAGATTAACTGGATTTTAAAACTGCCAGCATTGTGGCTATGTCTTCAAATATATTATTCCATTGGCAACAAGATATCTTCAGATTCATATGTGAGGTTGTAGTGACTACAGTTGACCAGGGGTGTGTATTTATTGTCCGTCTGAACATAAATATATTTGTTATATCATAAGTAACACAAATAGGCTGAGGAGATACTGTAAGTAACCCTTTGTCTCAATCCACAAATAGGAAGATGCCCCACTACAGTCTGCACTAGTAAGCTAGGAGAAAGAAGGAACCAACTGTTGACTCGTGAACTTCATGCTGCCTTTCTGCATCTCATGAAGTGCAAGAGATTTAATTCTCACAAAGCATCATGAAGCAGCTTTTGGAGTTTGGGCGACAAGAGAATTCGAAATAAAACACAGATTAATATTTTTACATCAGAACAGCTGAGTATTCATAGGTCTATCTGCAAAAATATGATGAGGGTGAGGATGATAAGGATGATGAGGATGATATAAGCATTCAACAGTATATTTGACTAATTAGAAGTGCTTAATTAAAAAACTTACCAGATGAGAAGTCAAGATTCCATTTCCAAAGGCGAAAGATGAAACATTTGGCTAAGAATGCTCATTTTATACCTTGTTTACCATTGGTTAAGAACCAAGTCCATGAACTCTCAGTTGAAGTAATCACATATCATTAAAATGTTCAGTATGACCTCTTGAGGACGTACTGGGAATTTATATTTCCACTGTATAGTTGCAGTACATAATTAGTTCACACTTCCGTTGCAATTCACTAAGAAACCTCATTATGTGCTTTGATCACTTTTATTTTAAGCATTAACTTGAAGGTTGAGGGACCTAAAGAATAAAGGAAAGCATGAGCAATGAAGCCAAACCAACAACGGCAAAGTAGGGAAGATTCCTGTTGCTAAATCATGTAGAATTGACAATCCAGCACTGCCTGTTAGACATAGCCTATCCAAATGTGAACTGAAATCATGGTGGTTTTGCCTTCCTCCCAAAGGTTCCTAGTAACTATTTTTCTATCTGTGCGTATCTCCTTTGATTTCCATCTTTACTCTACCGGCCCTACTAGCGAAAACGATGGATTGATAGTTCTGATTGAACACAGCTCCACCTGCAGCTTCAGACAGTTATACTAGTTGAGCAGAAGGGTCAGTGCTGGGGCCTTTTTTGTTGTTGTTTATGTCCTTTCCCCTTTTCAAACCTTTTTCCTGGATTAATGTTCGTTCCCAGCCTATCAGTATTAGTAATCTGGGCAGCTCACAAACATTGGAGAGGTGTAGACAAAGTTTTGACAGGTACAAGTTAATAAGATAGTGAATTGTTTTGAAATCTTGTGGCCTCCATATTCCCTAACTGTATTTGCCTCTTCCAATTCTCTATCTGATTTGCATTTTTATTAGAGGATCTGCTAAATGTACAGGAGCTCTCTTTGTGTGTGGTCTTCTGGTCTTTCATCTGCTCATGATGAGTGGCTCCTCACTCTTTTGGGAAGCTGTGAAATGAAGCCTTGACATGAGTCGGCCTTCCACAGTCTCTGCATGCTTTCTCATAGGCTTTCCACATGTAAAGTAATTTTCCTCATTATATTCACTGAATCACAGTGGGGGTGGAAAAATGAGAACATATGAGGAGGCACTGCCCCCCAGTGGCATACAGAGAAGGGGAGGAGGAGGCATCAGATAAATTTCAATCTTGTAAAGAAAAACACCCCTTTTCAGGTCTGTTGGGATGGAATGATTTGGTCAAATCACCCTTGAATTAAATCACTCCATCAGAGTTTTGCACAGCCCACTTAACTTCCCAACTGTTGTTCTGACATCATGCACTTTTTCATGCAGACTACACAAAACCAAATGGGGTCTCATCCCACAAAGGTTGATTGACATTTTCTGCAGCTCTACAAGAAGAGGCTGTTGTATCATCCTGCCACCGTCTCCTTTTCTGCTCTTAAACTAAACTGGGAATTAGGAGCAAAGCCAAAAGGAAAAAAGATGGCTTGGCCCTCCCCTTGTTAATCACACACACACACACACACACACACACAAGGGCATAAACCAATAACTGCTAGTCGCTCTTCAGGGGTCTAAGACTTTGAGACTGTGTAGATTCCAGCCTCCAAGACACAGACTGGAACCATAAAGGGCTGGTTAAAATGGGATATATATTATTAGGAAATACACAAAGGCAGAGAATGACATGGATGAGTGTTGGGTTTAGAAAAGGGAACATTGGTTTCAAAAGTAAGTGTAAAGAGAGGGACAAGGGAGAGGCTCATCAAAATGGAAATTTGGCCTCAGGGAAAATGCCTATGAAAGAAATTGGGCAAGGGTTTGAGCACGTCCACAATAAACGAAGACACACACTATCTGATGACTTAACTACATACAGAAGCCTAGGGTGCTGGATTTTCCTTCCTCCAATGTTGGATGATTGTCTCCATCGTAGAGTCGGCCCTGCCTTGAAAGTTTGACTGTGAATCTATTTGATATTAAATTCTATCAAAGATTTTAAATGAATTCTAATTAGGGCAAGGATTGGCTTCAGACATAATGACAGTATTCCCTGGTTTGTTTATGACTTAACATGTCATTTGATTTGTTTATGATTTATGTTTCAATATATTGTGGAATCCCAGAAAACAATGTAAGTCACTAACCAGGTTAAATTTGTTAGGTGAATGTAGCTGTAGGTTTTTTGTTTGTATGTGTGTGTGCCTTTGAGTCCTGGCAATTGCCTATACTAGTCCGTGTAATTTTCTTGGTGAAGTTTAGACTGGCCCAAGGTCACCCAGCTGGCTGTGTGGCTAAGGTGGGACTAGAACTCACGGTCTCCTGGATTCCAGCCTGATGCCTAAACCACTACACCAAACTAGCTGTGTTGCTATTGTTATTGGGAAAGTTCATTAAATTCCCCTTACCCACTCAGTTTCACCAGGGTTCCCCAAACAGCCACTAAGCTCAGTGGGGTTTAACAGGTTGTGATACACACATCCCTGCACTCTTCCAAAGAACAGCTAAAATCCAAGTAGGGTATATGATCAAGCAGAGGATGAATCTGAGATACAGCCTTCCTTTGTGGTCTAAGAACAGAGGCTTAAATGTGTCAGCCATTGTTTCAGCCTTCTGGAATGGAAGCTGTAATCTGCAGCCCTTGCATTATTTATAGTACTGACTAATGCATGCTACCTGCAACTTTCACACTGACGCTGATCTTAAGCTGCACCCCTCATCTCCACAACCCCTCTCAGAGTGATTGATGTTTTCTGTTTTTGTAGCATCTTATTAATCAAGATTTCTGGAGTTTTCAAAAGGCTGCACACTCTTTTGTGATCCTGCAGTTCACTGTTTTGAAGTTATTTCTTGCTTTAGATGAACATAGCTAACTTTTTTTGTTGTTGTTGTTCATACCTGAAAATTCCTCTGGTAGGCCAAAATGTCAAACCTAGCAAATGTATTTATATAAAAGTCACTGCTCTTATAGGAAAAATACCATTGTACATGAAATATGTGCTAGCTTATTGCAGATAATTCATTTATGTTATTTTATTGTGGGCATTAAATTTGTGCAGGCATTGATTTCCCATGTTACACACTCCAGGAATCATGTTGGCAAATGAGAATTTAAATGGTTTATGTCACAAACAAAAAAGATTTGCAGGATTGTTTGTGAAAGGGCATATGTTTCTTGAGAAGTAGTTAGGGCATTTTTAAAAAAGACATTGAGACAGAGAAGTAGTGAGAAGATGAATAAAGGAGAAAAAATAGTGTAATGTGAAGAACAATAGGTAGTCAAACATTTTAAATATTGTCTCTCATGTAACTGAATGGAATTAAAGTTGGATCCTGAGATACCATCATCATGTTTCCCTAACCATGGAAGGAATATGTGTTGGTAACTCTTTTTATATCACATGTCATCATGATGATGCCTCCAACTCATTCTCAACTCTTAATGGCTGCTTAAAATTGTCCTTTTAGGGACTGTAGTTTAAAAACAATGGCTTCTGCTTCTTCAACACAGTTGTTGCTGTGGACACAACCTAGCACATTTCCTAGATGATGTCATCAGTGACATGGTCAGGAGCTGGGACCTGCTATTGGCCGCATATTCCCATACCTTTGGTCAGTGGGAGACTGCTTTGTCTGGTTATTGTGGCTTGGGCTTCAGGAGATACTGGAGACCTCTCTGCCTGTGCAGCACCTGACCGGCCCTTTCAGAAGCACTTGGGCTGGTCTTCTTTTAGGCACAGGTTGAATGGTCTTTTCA